ATGCAAGGCCACCTGGGTTGGCTGGAAGACTGTTTACTTAGCCTGGCAGGGCGAAGGACACAGTCTCAGCTGAACTATGGACATACATACACACGCACACAGACATATACACATGCAGATATACACTCATCCCCCTTCCCCTCCAAACGCCTTCGACGCTTATTCCCTTCCGATGCTGACGGTGGATCATGGAGACCAGCGCATAGGCGGCAGGCCCAGATGTGCTGTCTACATTGGATGTCTCTTACCCTTTACCCATCCCTGTTGCTTGTCATGTGTTTCTTTGGTGTATTAAGAGTTTTTTCATGTGCTATGTGCAGAGGTGTTCTTTTCTGTTCTCAAACTGATCTCCCTGTTGGAGCTCAGTCTGGGGGGAGTTATTTTTTTTCTCCTTATCTTTCCTCATGTTGTGCTTTTCCATGTTATACCTCTCTGACCTGTCTTCCCCATGTGATGTTTGTGTAATGTATGTATGGTCGGAGGGTAAGATGGCGCCGCCATTGCGTGCAATAGGTCGGCAGCCTTAACATGAAATTTCCCCTTGTGGGATTAATAAAGGTATATCAAATAAACAAAACATAAACATTCACTTTGGATATTACATCTACAATTAACCTTAGTGTGTGAAGAAATTCTACAATTACACGAAAAAATTCAAATTAGAGTCTATTAGACAGATATGATACAAACCACTGCAGCACAGTACCTGTAATGCCTTCAGCGTGTCCTAATCGTTCTATTAGGATATTATGGTCAACAGTATCGAACGCTGCACTAAGGTCTAGCAGGACGAGCACAGAGATGAGTCCACTGTCAGAGGCCATAAGAAGATCATTTGCGCTACCTGGTTAATCTTTGTCTGTCTGAAAGGAGTGTGACCTCTGAGCTAGGAGTCTGGGTTTGTCTTTATCTTTTTTTTCTTTCCCTCCTTATTCTAGGACAAGTTTTTTTTTTTCTTTTTTGTTGACTTTCATGCATTTATATAAGTTGCTGGTGTGCACAGGATAGAATTTCCTTCCAATATTCATCACTTTTCCAGTGTTTGCATTCATAGCTGTTAAGAGAGATTGAATAATGTTGTTTTTTCTTTTTTTCCTCAAATTGATCTGAATATTTGTATCTGATTAGTGTTTTAAAATGTGTTTCAGAAAAAACTGGATGAGGCTATTGTTGTGTTTAAGCAAGGACTGGATAGTGGGACTCAATTATCTTCCTTCAACTACCAGCTGGCTATGTGCTACAAGGATAAGAAAATTGCTGAACAATGCAGGCCCTTCAGCAACACAGGTACACAGAAATATACTGCATGTTATCCTTAAATAAACACCACTCAAATCATCCTTTAATGCTCCACAGAAGAGGTGCGTAAGTTGAGGCGTTGCTGTATCAGTCACCTTGAAGAATCTGTGACGATAAAGCCGTCCTTTTTCTTGGCATTGGCTGATCTTGCACTGCTGTATGCAGAGGAAGGGGATATGAGCAGGTACCTGTCTAAACAAAGCTGCAGGGTTTCCTTCTTTCTTTCCTCTGGCTGTAAATTCCTCATCATCTCGTTGTTTCTCAGGGCTGAGGAGGCTTTCCAGCAGTGCTTGGAGAAGTTACCAGAGTTGAAGGAAAAGCTTTGTCAGATTATCCATCAGTACTACGGTGACTTTTATCTTTATCACAAAAAAAATGAGGCTCAAGCCATCGCTCACTATACCAAGGTAAGTTTCTATGTGCCAGACTCTGATTGGTCCTCACTGATGAAAAAATGAGGGCAAATCAGAGGGCAAATTACACCAAAGTGAGGCAGCTGCATGTCCAGTGTTAGACATGCAGCTGCCTCTTAATGTTCCACGGTTCAACCCAAGAAGAACAATAAAAGAAGAAAAACTAACAGGCCTTGTTTGGAGGGTGGAGGTGTCGGGGCAGTAATGTGAAACATTTCACCGCTCACATCTACCACATGACCTTAGTATGGATGGATTCATCTTAATGATAGTTTTCTGCTGTTTTCTCTCTGCAGGGGCTGCTGATACCACTGAAAAAATATCATTGGAGACAGTGTGCTAAGGTGAGCACTGGAGACATAACAAAGGTTACACATTATACACTGCCTGGCCAAAACAAAGTCGCCACTCAAAAAAAAAAAAGATCACACACTCTAATATTTTGTTGGGCCGCTTTTAGCTTTGATTGTGGTACGCATTCACTGTGGCATTGTTTCGATAAGCTTCTGCAGTGTCACAAAATTTATTTCCATCCAGTGTTGTATTAATTTGTCACCAATAACTTGCATTGATGATGGTAGAGTCTGACTGCTGCGCACATCAGCTTCTCCAGCACATTACAAAGATTCTCAATGGTGTTGATGTCTGGAAAAAAATGATGCCTCATAGTGCCAGAACCACTCTTTTACAATTTGAGCCTGATGAATCCTGGCATTGTCATCTTGGAATATGCCCTTGCCATCAGGGAAGAAAAAACCCATTGAATAACCTGGTCATTCAGTATAGTCAGGTAGTCAGCTGACCTCATTCTTGGATCACATACTGTTATTGAACCTAGACCTGACCAACTGCAGCAACCCCAGATCATAGCACTGCCCCCACAGGCTTGTATAGTAAGCACTAGGCATGATGGTCATTATAGATGTCATCTGTCCCACTTTGGATGGAGCACCTGTCATATCAAAAATCTGTCCAAATTTATAATAAAACCCCCAAAATGTTACAATCCAGAGTTGCAGTATTGCATGCCTTTTACACACTTCTCTCCTCCTGTTGTCCTTCAAAACCCCATCCCCTTTTTAAGCTGGTAATCAGGCCCCATCTCATCTTAAAGATAGTACCATATCACCCCATTAGAGCAACTCAATCTCAGATTGCGGACTTAGTTGTGGTACCTATAGTATTTAAAAGTAGAATGGGAGGTAGATCCTTTAGCTTTAGAGTTAAAATTTTAAAATGTTGCTTTTTTCATTAAAGCTTAATGGCCATCACTTTTTCTCTCACTGAAAACGTTACATCCAGACGAACAGAATCAACTTTTTTGGAACAGAAATCAATCTTTCTTCATTCCTCTATTTTTTCCTGTAGTCACTGAAGAAGATCGCTAAGAGACGTCTGGACAATAATCCAGGTGATGGTGAAGCTCTCGCTCTACTGGATAGGGTAGCTGAGGCTGAAGCTGCTGAGTTTAATGAAGATGCTCTGAACTATGACGAGGACAATGAAGAGTAGAAGTGTGAGCTGCACCTGGAGCTGCAGGGATCATCCTCTGATTAAACTGAACTGAACTGATTCAAGTTCAGTTTAACTTGAATTTTTCATATTCTGTTTTGATTGTTTTTCTGCTGTTCAGTTTTAGTTGAACCACTTTGGTCCTGTTGCTGTGTCCATGTATCATCTTGACATAATTGTAGTCGGAGCAGATTTCCATTCAAAGTGCTGACTGCCAAGTTTTTTTTTAGTTTTTTTTTAAATCTGTACCTGGTTTTTATCTGGAGGAAAAGTTTTCCCCGATTGTTCCTATTTTGCTCTGTCAGCATGACTCAGCCTCCTTTCAGTCAGGGAGTTAGCTACTTTCAGTGAAATGTGGAAAACACAGATAAAAGAGGAAATACAATAAAATGGAAGAAGGGAAATATTTGTGGTTCTCATCTCAGTCTACAAGGACGATTGATTATAATGTAGAGTACAGAGTGTGTATAGTGACACACAGTCATAAAGATAATTGTTCTGCAAGTCTTTTATATGTCAGCCCTTTATAACTTCAGTTGACTGCAGGCTGTTTACCAATATAAGTAAAGATATTAGGCTTAAAAACACACAGAAACCTGCAAAACATCATTATTGTGTTATTGTACACAAACAGGAATCCATATACAACACTGAACACAAGCAAGAACAACATTGTATTAACCACAAAATTACTGAGATTTTTACTTTTCATTCACAGCTGTAAAGTAGCTCTATACAATGCTCCTCTTTCTCTTTTTGTTTCTTCTGCTGATATAATTATACAGGCTACAGGTCGTCCAACTACAGGGGTCTAATAAAACAACACGTTTTATTGGATCATGCTCATCATCCAATCATACTCATACTTGTATTCGGAAGTGGTATTTTTCTCTCTCTGTCAGACTTCAGAAACTGTGAAAACTAAAGAAAACACAAAAGTTAACCACGCACTGACACGTCGGTGTCCGTAAACTCCACTAAAGAATGTCAACCAGGCCACAGTAATTGTTTCTGCTCAGTCAGCATTAACCCCACCCCTGGGTGGGCACGGTACACGGTGCCCAGAGAATGTTATGCATGTTCAATGTAACCTCTGGCGCCGTTGCCCACCTTTTAATTTTAAATACATTAGACACCGAGGGTTCTCATAATGCACCATGAACATAAGATAAAATAATGACAAAAGACATAATAATAAAGACAAGAATAAAGCAAACTATAGCATGGGCGGCAGACAGACATATCGAGTTAACTCCTGAAGCTGTCAAGTCCACAGTGTGTACGTTGCAGTTCTCCAAAAAGTTGTAGAATTTTGACCACATGGCCCAAAAGTTGTCCAGTTTGTTTCTTAATGCATAAGTTATTTTCTCCAGAGTTAGTATAGACGTCAGTCCATTGAGCCACTGAGATAGTTCACATATTTTTGTAACTTTCCAGCACAATACATCGCTTGGCCTTCAAAAGTCCGATCGTTGACAGAGCTCTAATGTTCACAGCAGGTACAAAATTGTTTGGGTATACATTCAAAATACATAGTGTGGGATCAAGGGGAATCACATCACCAATGATTTGGCTTAACAGATTTATTACCTTTTCCCAAAAGACTTTCACATGTGGGCACTCTCTTATACAATGATACAAAGAGCCCCTGTCCACTCCACATTAGATACAGGTGTCTGGGATGTTTGGGTTAAAATGATGCAATTTTGACGGGGTAATATACAGCCTTGTTAACCATTTAGACTGAGTCAGTTGATTGTCTGACTCTGGGCTAAGGAGCATGATCTATACCAGCGGTCTCCAACCTTTTTTGCACCACGGACCGGTTTATGGCAACAATATTTTCACGGACCGGCCTTTAAGGTGTCGTGGATAAATACAACAAACTAAAACTAGTACTGGTACCGAAAAAAAGAAGATTTATTCATAACACACGTGAAAAGACCCAGGAAAACTGAGTTAACGATAAAAACGATAACAAAATAATGCTAAAAAACGATAAAACCCCTGAAAACCATACATTTCACACCCGAGCCTCAACTCTCGCGGCCCGGTACTGGTCCGTGGCCCGGGGGTTGGGGACCACTGATCTGTACCACTCATCATCAGATATATCCATTTGCATATCATTCCTCCCTGACTCTAAAAACACTGTGCTGATTCTTTGGTGTTTTCCTTAAACATTTTGTACAATACAGAAACTTGGCCTCTCCCATTTAGATGTTTTATAACTGTGCTCTCTAGAGAAGAGTGTGCAGGGAGTTCTAAGCTCTTACCTTGTATGGTTAAAACAAAATTTCTCAATTGAAGAAATTTGAAAAAGCGTTTTGCAGGAATAGAAAAGATAATTTCTAAGTTGTTCAAAAGACATAAGAGTATTACTCCTAAATAGATCAGACACTTTTCATATACCTTGACTGAACCAGAATCTGAAGCCTCCATCTGCCCTACCAGGAGGAAAGTTGTAATTTCCAAATATTGGAGACAGTTGTAATGTTTCTCCCAAGTAGTTATGCATTTCAAACCAGATCATTATGGTGTTTTTCAGAAAGGGATTATTAGTTTGTTTAATTACTGTCTTCCTGTCAGCTGAGCAAAGATATAAGTTAGGGGGAATTTTGATTTCTGTAGCCTCCACAGAAACCCATGCTGGAGTTTACTCATTAACAAAGTGCCGCGCTGATTTGGGCAGCCCTCTTTCATATGGAAGGTAGAGTAAGGAGAGTCTGAGCCGTGGTCTTTTGTTATTCCAAATACATTTTCTGAATTGTTTTTGCAGATCTGAAAAGAAAGAGTTTGGTGGAGAGAGAGGAATTGATTGAAAAAGGTAAAGATATTTAGGCAAAATTGACACTTTTAGTATGTTAATACGGCCAATTAAAGATATAGGTAATTTCATCCACCTATTTAGGAGTAGAGTAACTGATGTTGTTAAAGAGTTATAGTGTGATGGCAAGGTGTGAGGCTCGGTCAGGCCCCTTCCGGAGGATGGGGGCCTGGGTCTGCCCCGGGGCCTCCTCCGTCCCAGTGGGACATGCCCAGAACACCTCACCCAGGGGGCATCCTTGTCAGATGCCCGAACCACCTCAGCTGGCTCCTTTCGATGTGGAGCAGCAGCGGCTCTACTCTGAGCCCCTCCTGGATGGCCGAACTTCTCACCCTATCTCTAAGGGAGAGGCCAGCCACCCTTCGGAGGAAGCTCATTTCTGCCACTTGTATCCACGATCTCGTTCTTTCGGTCACTACCCACAGCTCGTGGCCATAGTTGAGGGTAGGGACGTAGATCGACCGGTAAATTGAGAGCTTCGCTTCTACGCTCAGCTCTCTCTTCACCACGATGGATTGGTGCAGCGTCCACATCACTGCGACTGCAGCACCAATCCACCTCTCGATCTCCGGCTGCCTTCGCCCATCAGTCGCGTACAAGACCCCGAGATACTTGAACTCCTTCACTTGGGGCAGGAACTCATCCCCGACCTGGAATGGGCACTCCACCCTTTTCTGGCTTAGAAAGGAAAAATAATTAATTAAATATAATAATTAATTAATCAAATGTCTATGGAATTAATTAAACCTGGAAATAAATAAATAATTTATTGCATATTTTCAATGAAATTAATCGGCATTTAACTGTCTATCTATTCATCTAATTAATTCATTTAAATTTCAATTAATTATGTCATATTTCATTTTGAAACTCCTGGCCATTTTTTTTTACCTTTCTTAATACTATTTTCACTTCAGTAAAGAAGTTGAATCCGTACTTCAGCTTTTACTTGAGTATTTTTTTTACACTAGTATCTCTACTATCTCAGAATGTCTGTGCTTTTGCCACCTCCGTTAGTATCTGTATTATTTCTGGAGGTTTTCAGAAACCGGAAAGTTGCTGTGAAGCTAATGTGGACTCACATCATGTTACAAGAAAGAGCCCCTCTCTTCCTCAGTGTACACGCCGATGAAGATGAAGAAGCGATTACGCGACCGATCAGTGAGAAACCCTGACCTCAGATCTATCATTTACAGATCAATGGCTGATCAGTGATCTTTGGAGACGCTCTCAGCTGAGATGCAGAAGCGAAACTTAACGTCCCTTCATGGTGCTTTCAAAGACCCCTCCTGAGGTCAGGTGAAACAGAAAGCCCAGCCTTCTCGTCGCTTTCCTCCTGTCTCAATATGTGCCTCCCGTCTCCTAACATACTTTATATTTATGGCCATTAAAATCTCTCTTTCACCTGTTTTCAGCGGGGCACTGAAGGCACCACGATAAAAGATAGGTGTGTGTGTGGTTTGTGTGTCAAAGGTGAGAGCTTCACAGATCGGTCCACGAACTCTTCGTGTTCAGTCATCAGTTTGCTGTGTCTAAGGAGGAGGAGGTCTCTGTTTGCTCCAACATGAGGTCAGTTTGCCAAACCTCTGATCAATAATCGATCATTTATCACAAAGTGAACCACCTGATGGATTTTAAATGCAGCAGTGGTTTAGCTTACCTGGCGCTCAGGTGCACGCAGAGGGATACAAAGTAACACAGTCCGTCTACCTGTGCATGTAACAGGGGACTGATATCAGAGGAAGAGGAGAAAGTGGACATTAACAAATTATAAACCTTGTATGTGAAAATAATAACTTGTGCTGCAGTAATCATTTATTTTATTAATCAAATATTCTATCAGTTATTTAATTGATAAATCAAATAAGAAATACTTTTGTCTTATTAATGAGTAATAATAAATATTTAAAAGAGAAAAACAAAAATGTGTTTTTATAATGAGCTGCTCGTTGGTTTCATATTCTTGAAATGTTAATGTTTGATTAACGGATATATGACATCACTGTTTTTACAGCCACAATAATATGGTCTGTTATCACACACACACAGAGAGAGAGAGAGAGATTCACATTATATGTGTTTAAAGATAATGTTCGGATCATTATTGAGCATATTTAACTATTCAGTAAATTCACACATGAAACTATTATTATTGTTCAAAAGTACAATGATGAGTTAGAGACGGCCATCGTTATCTTCTCAAACTCAGACAATAAAAAGGTTGATGATGGATCATGTCTGAAATCTAAACTTTAGAATAAACATTCTCACTACTCAGACTACATGTCTCTGCTAATCTATTGATCAGACTTATATCTTTATTTACCTTTGATTAAGATTAAATTTGATCTACTTACTACACTAATCTCTGGTTTACCACTCTGACCATCCACACATTTTTAACACATAAGGCTGAGTGTTAAGCTCAGCCGTGACAGATGCAAGAAGCCTTTCACTTCATGAGGCTCTCACAGTTGTTTATTAGAAAATATCCCAAGTCTCTCTGCATATTGGGCCAAAAGAAACCTTAATCAGGTTTATCCTTTCTTTGCCTAATTAGCCAATTTTTTTATTCAGCTCAACTATAAAAGTGGACGGTACACTTCTGAGAGGATGAGGTGACAGTTGGAGTGGACAGCTTGGAGTGCACTTCATTCATTCTACTACTGATCCAGCCTAAACCTCCCATCCTTGAGTATCAAAATCCACACAATTTAGCCCTGATTGCTCACAACTACCTAGCATGCATGTTCGAGTCCGTGTTCGTGCTTGCCTTCTTCAGTGCTCAACTCTTCAACAATATTAATTCCAGATCATGAACACTGGTAGCTGAAAAACACGGGCAACTGATGCATCTTACATCGATAACTAGACATTTTAACACTGGCATGTGATCAAATGAAGTGAACAAAAACAAATCGTGTGGTCTCATATCCAAAAATATTTAACAGAACAATATCAAAAATATTCCACAAGTACTAAGTATAGTACAGTATAGTACTTAGCTGTCCCCCTGTGTTTGTGTTTCACTCCACATCTAAGGTTTCTTCTGGTTCCTCAGTGTGAGATTCAAACCACAGATCTACTTCACATCACTGATTTCACTGATTGATAACACAAACTGAATTTTTGTCAAGGAGAGGAGCTGGGAAGTGTGGGTGAGCTGTCATGAGAGTTTCTGAGTGAGGATGCTTGATCATGTGCTGGTCATAGAAACAGGATCCTCAGGTGTGTCAGAGCACTGAGTGAGCCTCGGTTCAGCCAGTCCAGGTTTGATGCTCTCCCTCTGATGGTCCTCACAGCTTTTTCTTTGTGACTCTCTTACAGTGAAGATAGCAGCGCTCTGCTCAGCAGGCTGCAGCAGTTGCAGTGTCACTTTACCTGGGATCTGAAGCTGGACGTGGAACTGGAAACCCTGAGTACTCGACTACACATTGACATAGATTTTCATCGGAGTCAGTGTGAGGGAGAGAGTTGCACCTACAGCCTCTTGGCTTATGTCAGGTACAGTTTCTGGAGCTGTCTGATTAAAGAAAAGCTAAAGTGGATTTATTCTGCTCATTCAAATCTCAACACTTTTATTTCTGGGACTCTGCTAGAGAAGAGAAGAGCTAGCATTAGCAAGAAGAAAGACAGTTTTTCTCACTGAAGTCCGTCTGACCAAAGACAAATTTGACCGCCAAAGCAAGCTGTGGTCAGCATCAGCAGGATTTATACATAAATGATAAAGAGATCGTTTTGTTTTCAGGATCAGATCCAACCCTGAGCTGTCTTTCTTCTGCTAATGTTACCTATCAGCAGTGTTCCTGCTGCTAACACAGATGAATTTTAAATTATTTAACAACATATTGTCTGGAGTAGATATCGTTCGCTGATTTTCAACTCACTCAGTTAATATTATGAATAAACAATCACCAGATTGATGCAGCATAGCAAAGCTACAGCTAGAATACAAACTTTAGCTTGCTTTATGTTTACCTCATCATTTCAACCTTAATAGATACACGTGATAGGAAGAGAAACATTATTGGAGTATTGGACTAGAGTTTCTGATTCTCTAAGAATCTTGATATAAATCTGCCTCCTGAAGCTTGTTTGGACTCTTGTTTTTCTGGTGGAAATGCAGTAATTATCTAACCCTGGAGTCATGAACCTCAGATAAAAACCTTAATTAATCATAAACAAGTGTTAGTTGAACTCTCAGGTCAGTTTCTTGTCAGGTGTCGTAAACACCAGATGTGGAACAGCTGTTGATGACCTGTTGGTCCTCAGGTATCTTCAGGATCAACGAGAGGAAGCGCTGTCACTTTTAAACCAATCAGAGGAGACCATCAGGGAGCGTCATGGTGATGAGAGTGAGAAGCGGCTGATTGTGACGTATGGAGACATGGCCTGGCTGAAATATCACGATGGAGACTTTGCACAGTCACAAAGCTACTGTCAGAAAGTCGAGGACATACTGGTATGTACACCAATCAGATCAAACATTATGATCACTGCTGTTGAACCTCTGACGCTTCCTTCTCTGTCTGCAGGTGAAGTATCCCACTGGTTCATCAGGAGGTCTCCTTCCAGAGGTGTATGGCGATCAAGCCTGGACCTATTTCAAGGTGTCATGGTCTTCTCTCTCCAAAGCCATCGACTGTTTTCATAAAGCACTTGAGGTACAGCGTCATGACACAGAGTGGAACGCCGGCTACGCCATCGCCCTCTTTTGCAGAGAACAGGTCAGTTTTATGATAAGAATGAAGAGTATTAACTTATATGGATATTCCTCTATAAAGCACCAAATGATGAGAGTAAACCTTAAGGCTCCTTCAGTGTCAGTATGAAGTTTCAATGACTAATTCTTTTATTCAAGCGAAATAAACTGCAGACTAACCAGTTTCTCATCTGCAGTGGGTTTTAGGAAATAAACAGGAAGATGAGGAATCCAAAGCCACCAAACAGCTTCGCTTTGCATTGGAGATCAACCCAAATAATGCTGTTCTGCAGTGCATGCTGGCCTTGAAGCTGACGGCTTATAAGAAATACGAGGAGGCTGATGGTTTGGTGAATAAAGCACTAGAAAATGATCCCGATAACCCTCATGTCATCCGGCACTCCGGCAATTACTTACATAATCGGGTAAGTCTGCAACCTTATAAATGCTATTTCTTCCTACTGGGTCTTTGGCTTAGTAACAGCAGATCAAAGCAAAAGTGAAGAACTCTGTAGAGACTTCTTGGTTTAATTTTTCATTTTCTTCATAGAAAATATTGTAACAATATTTACAGTATATCAAGGCACCTGCAGTGTTATACTTAGAAATTCATTCAATGTTAACAACCTGGTGACAGTGGGGAGATGAGAACGCCAACAGACTCCAACTCAAGGAGAATGGCTGCCTGACCTGAGGGTAAAGGTACCAGATAATTGAAGTCCAAGATTGTAGTGTGGAAATCTATCTGGAACCGTCCGTTGTGCCATTAGCTTCTGTTTTTACATGTAAAAAACAGAGTAACTGAAGGCACATGACCCAGTACTGTGACAGTAGTAAATGAATGTTATATTCTGGTCTCATTCACAACAGACTCCAGAATATCTATTTCCTACCCACCAGGGTAGTAAGTTTTATTCACAAGTCATGCGACTCAGATTGGTCCTGTGCCATGTACAACAGCAACATACAGCCTAACAATCCTTACTTGTGTGTCACTCTAAAACGTCCGTGCAGCAACACAATCCATTGTGGAACAAACCATCTTGCAAACAATAATTCACATTATTACAATTGTAGCTGTTCTCTCTGGTAGAACAACAAAACAAGCTGTTACCACAGCAGCAGGAGACATGTTGAGTACATTTCAGATTTGTGCTGTAAACACTGTGTGTAGGAATACCTGCCTTTGCTTCAAGAACAGCAAAAATGGAAAATTAAAAGAGAAGTTTGAATCCATGAGTTAAAGGAGCTTGCAAAGAAAAG